CTATACAAGTGTACCAAGTTTCATGCTTTTATGAAAAAGTGAACATTATTTTCACATATCACCTGGACTAATATATATATATATATACAAACCCGATTCCAAAAAACTTGGGACACTGTACAAATTGTGAATAAAAACAGAATGCAATGATGTGGAAGTTTCAAATTTCAATATTTTATTCAGAATACAACATAGATGACATATCACCATTATATTTACTTAAAAATTAATGTCACCATGGTTTTTGCATTCCACTTGCGCCTGTGTCTTTTGCAGCTTCTTGTACATAACGTGGTGTAGTCGGTGCTAGTTCAAATAAAAAAATGCTTCTACAAAAAAAGTTTCAACTGCAGATATGGCCTTGTTTAGGGATCTGTGCCTTTGTGCATACGGACATCTGACTGCTAAGTAGTGATTGTGTTTTTCAGCAATAGTGTGCACCCTTAATTTACAGAGAAAAGAAGGTCAGGAAAAAATCTGTAGATGGAAAAATCTCCATACAAGTTCTTTGTGCATTTTTCTTTTTTTCTACTTGTTACTTTGCACTTTTTGTTAGAAAATGTTCATTTACTATTTATTCAGGTTTTTTAAGGTATCTAATATTTTGATACTTAATTTCCTTAATTCTTCAAAATTAAAAGTTTGTTGTCATTTGGAAGTGTGTAGGCCTTCTTGCATTATTATGCTGTTACATTTTGATTATATATTCAGTGGCATAAAATGGTCTTTAAAATGACAATAATATCGCTTATCGCAATTATTTCTGGGGCAATATATCGCACAACAAAAAGTTGTTATCGTGACAGGCCTACCTACATAGCCTAATAAGCGCTCAAGCACACGCATAAAGCTTGCCACAGCGCACCGGCAGAAGCTATGATTATGAATGTGTCAGGGAAAAACAGTAAGGAGGCTACATTAACATTTTAATAATTCACTGATAAACAAGTGCTTTCTTTGTTTCGGTTTACGAGATGAACTCGGCGACACCGACTTGTCATCTCCGCAGTAGTGATGCGCCTGTGTGCATGTTTGCATAAAACCATGAGTAAAACAAACAAAATGTCAGCAGCTGGAATGTGAAAAGATCGTTCCACACGTGCTTGAGATCTTTGCAAATAAGTATATCAGATGCAGATGTATTTTCCTGCTGTGTAAACTGATGAAACGTATCATGACACTCGAAAAATCGCCTACTAAACAATAAACGTCTGTGAGGAATTCAAATCAAGCTTCGTGTGCATCTTACCTTATACACGGTGTTTTGTATTGGACATAAATCCTGTATGGAGTCCTTTGGTTTCCTGGTCTTTCTCGTGTATTGCAGAAGCTCTGCTTGAGGAACACAGATGCATGTGATTAGCACGCAGCACGAGCGCTGCATTCAGACGAAAACATCCATGTGCTGGTTACTGCAAGATCTATAGTCTATACTGTCTCCTCGAGTTCAATGGTCCAGAATAAAGACATGTCCGTATTATTGTAATGGATCAGTACAGCAGTCCTCACGTCCAGTGCATGCGCCCTCTGGTGATGATGCACATGCACACAATCATGCAGATGTTGCAACCAACGGAATTATATCTGCATAACATTTTGTTATACTCCCCGAATGTTCGATGAGGGAATTTGTGAATATGCATGCGACAATATTTCAATCAAAAACTGAAACTTTGAAATCAACACCGTCATGGGCTATTTTTTAATGTAAACTGGGGGTTGAATATTGGATTCCATTACACACACACACCTGTAAGCTGAATAAGGCGCAAATGAAACATATAGGCTATGCATCAGCATGCGAAAGCAACAGATTGCATGTTCATGCACCTGGAGTTTACAGACAACGCGTGTCACTATCAGAAACAAGACTAAAATGCATCTGGTATAGAAGTACCAGCTGCTAACTAATAATTAATAACATTAAAGGGGTAATATGATGCTGCTAAAAAGAACATTATTTTGTGTATTTGGTGTAATGAAATGTGTTTATGCGGTTTAAGGTTCAAAAAACACATTATTTTCCACATACTGTACATTATTGTTTCTCCTCTATGCCCCGCCTTTTTGAAACGCGTCGATTTTTACAAAGCTCATCGGTCTGAAAAGCGAGGTGTGCTGTGATTGGCCAGCTATCCAGTGCGTTGTGATTGGTCGAATACCTCAAGCGTGTGACGGAAATGTTATGCCCCTCACCATGATGTGATGCCTTGTCCCCCGGCCTGAGCGATGAGACAAATACATTAAAACCCATTATAAACAAGGCATTTGTTGCATCCAGTGGGGACATAATTATGGATTATAATGACTTATACTGTCTTTTTATGCGTTGCGTTGCATCGCGCCGCGTAAAC